TTGGCTTGTGCTGTACAGATGTGGCCATTAAGAATGCACTTTTTTTCCCCACGGCATGACACAATTCGTACCACGAAATGCCGCTGAATCCCGTCAGCATGTTTTTAGATTTTAAATAAATGTGTTGTGCTTCACAGAATATCCACCAAATGGCGCATGGAACACCATACTTTATCTATAGACCAGACCATATTGTTTATAAACACTTTGCAATTATTCGTCTTCGACCTATTGTTAAATATGCTTATATAGTATTACAGTACATTACATCTTAAAAATAGAATTAACATAATTATGAGTGTCTGATAAATTATTAACTGCATGTAATATTGTGATTGTGAGAAAACATCCACAATAAACATATAAATAAATAGTAGCTATTAGACATAAATATTTGATATGGTAATATGGACATTTAAAAATATATTTACACATGAATGCATGAGTTTAAAGCGGATCATTAATTTGATGTGCTTTGTAAACAATTTATTGCACTTGAGCTGCATTTCTGAGATCATGTTTACATTAGGCAACACAACTATTAATTTATTGACTTTATTCAGTTGTTAAAGTTATTTGAAAAATTAATGTCATTATTTATTATTTGTTTTTGTTGTTCATTCATTCATGTATTTATTAAGCACCGATCAACAGCAGTTGACCATAGTGCTGCACAAATAAAATAAAAATTTGAAAAAAGAATAACATAAGTAAAATCAAAAGATAATTTAACATACAAAGTTTAAAAAGCCAAGGTGAGAAAATGAGATTTGAATTTAGTTTTAAACTCATAGAAATATATATTTTTTAAGTCAGACAAATAGGAGGGCGCCAGATCATTTAAGGATTTAAAAACAAATACCAATATCTTAAAATCAATTTTATAACACACTGGTAACCAGTTTTATTGTTGTTCAAATTTAAAGATGCCTGTGTGTGCATGCAAAAAGATAAAGTGCAACAGAGAATTAAGTGTATAATAAGTTAGCCTAAAAATATGCCAGTATCCAATGCTGAAGCAAACATCAATCATGTATTTTACAATAGATATTTCATGATGAATTTGGGTAAATGCACTTTAAAATTATGTTCATAATAATGAGATGTTTATTACTCTTTTATTGGTTACTTTTCATAAGGGGTGACCAGAACATTTTTTTATTGATCAGTCTTTAAATACCATTTGTAAAAAATTTCAATATGTATAACTACCTATAATGGTCGTGGGCATTTAATGCATACTCATCCAGGCCACCAAATCTACAGTAGAAACCACAAACCTATTTTTTAACCGTTTTTAATTAACATATTATACTTTGTAACCATCACATAACACGCTGGTAATGTTTAATTAGAGTAAAATGCAACTTTAAGAGATGTGTGTGTTGTAATGGTGGGTCTTAAAAGGGTCATCGAATGCAAAATTCACTTTTACATGTTGTTTGAACATAAATGTGTGTTGGCAGTGTGTGTACACATCCACCCCCCGATCTGTACACATGCGCCTCCCGATCTGCCTAAATGTGTCTATGTTCGCGCGAATCATTCGTGATCCAGCCTCACCTACAGAATAAGTGAGTATAAGCGTTTGTTATGAATCTTTGCTAATTGACTTTCCTAATAATATGCTAGTTAGCAAGTTTTGCAGCTAAATGCGGCTAAAGTAAACAGTAAAGTTTCTCACCCACAGAAGAGAGGGGCGGGGTCAGCAGAGCTCATTAGCATTTAAAGGAACATGCAACAAAACAGGTTGCTCTGAAAAGAGCTGATTTTAAGGTAAAAAGGATGTTTTTTACACTACCATTGGTAAATTTGAACCAAAGCATTTTTATAGACTTTTCATTAAGACCCTAAAGAATCATATCAACTTGTGGAAAATGGGCATCCGATGACCCCTTTAAACTCCCCAATTTGCTGCCAACGATTTGTTAAATTACACTTCACACCTAGTCGTGATGGAAAATGGGCATCCGATGACCCCTTTAAAACCCCCAATTTGCTGCCAACGATTTGTTAAATTACACTTCACACCTAGTCGTGAATGAAAGGTGAGAAGAGATCGACTCAAACACATCCTGAAACTGCCCCTTTTAATCCAATATACAAACATACTGTAGAATACAGTATATTTAAACATACAATTAATGTGTAAAAATCAGGTCGTTGAACTGGTTCAAGGAACGAAAACTGGAAACGAATGATATTTTTACAGGAACATAACCAGAAATGGAAACGAAATCAAATGTAATTGTTCTGAACAGAACTTCAGAAGGCAAAGAGAAAACATAATACAAATATCCATAAATAAAAAGGAATATTTAGGCCTATAAACAAAATATATTTTACTTAGCCTAAATATTAGGCAAAAAACAAACAACAACAACAAAAACAAACAAAGAAAACATGCTAGGTTCAGTTCATTGTGGCACGCTCCAAAGATCTAAGAAAGGAAACGGAGACACTGAGATGGTTTTCGTTATTTGACAAATTCTGAATATCTTTTGTAAACTTATGAATTATGTCTTGCTTTTATCTGTATGACCATAAATTACGGAGTAGCATCGCCGCCTCACACCCGCACACACAAAATATTCTTGAATTGCTCATTTGATATCGCAGCCTGTTCATTATTAAAATAAAATACAATAAACCAAACATATAAAACACTACACTGTTCAATTTGAATAGTCTGTAATATAATCTGTGCCATTCATTGCATGACCACTGCCTCACTGTGCTGTTATTATTAGGCTACAGCCTATATTATTACATATTTTTAACCATGCACAAAACATTTAAAAATATTTAATTAAAATATTTAAATTATTTAAACCGAGTTTTGTTCCCTTTCGTTTCATAAGGCCAGCATTTGGACAAAATCTTGTTATAAAAGATGATTGTAGCATAATGGCTATGACTTGACGGCGAGACTCTTTCAGTGGCGAGCAGGGACTTTTTTAACGGGTTATGCTGAGTGATAGGATTAAGAACCCCCCCTCCCCATCGGCTTTTAGGACACCCTCGAAGGGGAACATAGATTACAAATAAGAAACACCGTGGCAGGTGTCGATTTAAAAGTATGCACATTTTTTCAGTGGCGAGCAGTGACTTTTTTAACGGGTTATGCTGAGTGATAGGATTAAGAACCCCCCCTCCCCATCGGCTTTTAGGACACCCTCGAAGGGGAACATAGATTACAAATAAGAAACACCGTGGCAGGTGTCGATTTAAAAGTATGCACATTTCCTACCTTATCTGTAAATGAAATTCATCTCCAATCGTTCTTCTATCATTTCAGGTTTATCCATTGTTAATGGATATAATTATCCATTGTTGAACCGACAGTAACACTGTTTTGTGTTCTTAGTAGTGTTCACCAGACTATAAAATTTCAATAATCCTAAACCTTAATAACTCAACATAACCACTACAGTAATGTTTAAATGCCCATGACAAGCATGTAAAAACCATTAATAACTGAATCATTAGTATTTTATTTCTATTTGAGCTGTACACTGTAAAAAACAAAAAAATCTGTTGAGTCAACTTAAAAAAACGTTACCCACTACACTGACTCAGAAAACACTCCTTACTATTTCCCCCCGACACATTCATGGTAGTTACTTTTGCTGGGGCTTTGCAGCAAGCTTTAGCCTACTGCGTGATCTCTTCCAGCTGCGCTGAAGGCACGCTGCTGCTGGCGGGACACTAAACACCGTCCGAGCCGAGGTCTTGACAGTCAAGGTCTCGTGTTGTTTCCACCAGCGTGGCAAATCTTTTTCATCATCATAATTGATGGATGTCTAAAACAAAAACAAACAAAAATTGATGGAGAAGCCTAAGACAGGCCCAGAGCCCGGCCCGCGTCTCAGACGAAGCCCAGCCCTATAGTGACATAAATAAGATGGGCCCCGCGGGCTGAAATGCAGGGCTCGCCATAATATTTCTTATAGAATCTGTCGATATGTTTTATGTTAATGTCTTGTGATTAAGCTCTGTTTTTGCAACTGAAGATAAGGAAAAATGTGAATTATTCATTGGATCTTAACTAATCGTTAGGCTAAGTAAGAATGTCAAAATGTTTTAAGTTATTACTTATGTAGAGCTGATTTATTTATTTTTTTTATATGCGTTTCTAGCCAATCGTAATTTAAAGTTTATAGAAGCTGTCAATGTGTTTTATACAATTTTTTTTTTGTGTCTGTTTCTGTCTTGTGTCTAATGAATTTAATTTGTAACTAATGAATAAGTGAGAATATTAAGTCATTATTTGATCATGTAGAGAATAATAAAACAAAAGTGAAAAGGTGTGTTTCTAACCAAACTTTAGGTGAACATGCTGAGCGTTCATAATATTTTTATTAGGCCGAATGTTGAAGATCTGTCTATAGCTCAGTTTATGTAACTGAAGAACTGAAAATAAATAAAATGCATAAGTTTGTCATGTCAGTCGTAAATGAACATGCGTGCAATATTTACAGAATGCAATGTTTAGGCTACAGCAGCTCTCAATAAGTTTTCTATAAATAATTTCTTATGTATATGTTGTAACTTAAGATCCTGAGCAAGATGAAATGTTTGTTGTGAGTTTGATAAAATGTTTTAAGTAATAATTTGCTTATGGCAAGCTGAAACAAATATTTATGTAGACATATGCATGTGAGTTTTCAGTGGCGCAATGGGTTTGGTTGGAGGGGGGTGCCGAGCACCCACCGGCGGAAAAAGAAATCGGCGCCTATGAATAAAACTGTTAGCAACCTCAATTTAAATCAGTTTCAAAATGACTAGACCTTGTGAGGAAGACTAATTTGACCCCTAATTGGATCTGGTTATTTCAATTAAATAGGTAAATTTATTGAGGGGTTTGTAAAGGCTATTTATTTACATGCCTGGTCAGATTTACTTGCATATAACAGTTCTCTAGTTCTGGTTTGTTATCATATTGCTTGATCAGTTTCTTATGATCAAATGTGTTATGATACATTTATCATTTTCTTTAGTTTCAGGTTTTTCAGGACTATGGAGGAACGGCGTTTTATACGGCGCCCAAATTTTGCACTGAGGTACCAGAGGCATCATACATATCAGTGGTCCAGTCTACAGCTAAGGCGTAAGCCCAGAGCCTCTCCTCCTTCCAGCCAGCAGTTGCACAAAGGCCTGAACAAGAATAGCTCCACAGCACATATTGAACCCGGCAAAACAGGTTAGCTGCATTGTGCTATATCTGTTAGCATTTTTGTTGCAAATTTGGTTGAACTAAATTTTGCAGTGCATGTATGGACTCTTAACTCTTAACACTAGGTGGTAGTGTCAGTTTACATATTAAAATTCTCAATGAGAGGTAGCATTCTGTGTTTTATTTACTGTTGCTTTACAGAATTTCACTTAAATTTTACTCAGTAATCATTTAATCAATTAATCTGATAATCTTAGAAATGCTTGAAGAAATAAAATAAAAATCCCAAATTAAATTTGTTCTCAATCTCATCCAATATTAAATGCATTTTCTGCTCCACAATAAAACTATAACATATTTTATATATAGCATATTTAAGCATTATCAAATTATTGTAAACTCTAAAAAATGTTGGGTTATTATTTTATTTTATTTTTTACCCAAATGCTAGGTTCAGCTTGTTGGATCAATTTATTGGGTTATATTTAAATATTTTTTACCCAGGTGCTGGGTGGTTTTTCTGTAACTAAGCTGCTGGGTCATTTTTAATGCTGGGTTATTTTTTCTACCCAACCACTGGGTTAAGCCTGTCTCCGTCGAAACAACCTAGCTGCTGATTTACAGTGAGATCACAGGCTTTTTGAGTTCTCTACAGGTTTGGTGCACTTCTTCAGCGAAATAAAGGTTTGTATACATTTTATTTCATTTATAAAGTCTTTGCTGTGCTGTAAATTTTATTATTTTATGCAGTGCAACATAAGGACGAGATGTCAGTCAGCTGCGTCAGCAGTGGTCGTTTCACACGATGGAAACGCCTTTTGCCTGGCATAACATTAGTTTTTATTCGTTATAATTTTATTCTGTTTTATTCATTATAATACTGAGTTGAATTTAATTTGATGTTATGTTCTCTAATCTCAGTACTGTTTGTTTATGGGCAGGTTATAGAGTCAGTCATGGCCAGTGGCGTAACTTAGTAATGACGGGCCCCAGTGCAGGCTATTACGACGGGCCCCCTGGGTGCACGGTTATGAAACACATACAAACACACAGCGCTCGTGAAGAGAACACATATAAGCGAATTTGTGCCTACCCAACTTAATTTAGACCAATTAAAATCAGTATCTTATCTGTTTCTTATATTAAATTAAAAAAAAAACATATGTTACAAAAAAATGTATGGTAACATTTTATTTTAAGGTCTCTTAACTAGTTGCTTATTAGCATACATATTACTAGAATATTAGCCATTTATTAGCACACGCAGGAATCATGGCAACCGCTCTCCGAGAGGCAAGACGCAAGAGAGTTTGCAACCCCACCACTTTTTGCAACATCTTGCGGCACGCACGGCTGTACCTAACAGAAGGAAACATCTCCATTCGATTAGAAATTCATTGGTCTGTGTTAAATAACAGGCAAGCTATCGCTGAAATGAGTTATTGAGAGTGCTCGTTACAGCTGTTATCAGTTCTCTCTTGGCACTCGTGCACAATGCGCAGCCTTCACACAGACGACCGAGCGCTTCGTTCTATAGAATTATTATTATATATATATATATATATATATATATATATATATATATAATACATCATGGTATATATAGCATATAAATGTCTTCCAGTTTTGTTCTGCTGCATTAAAAGGTCAGATTTAAATTACAATTCTACAATTAAAATTCAGGAATTCTCATTTAAATTCTGAATAATTCATGTGCATGCAGACGTGCATGTCTGTTTTTTTTTTTTTTAGTTGGCTAAAAATCAGATGTGGTATGTTGAGAAGATTTTCCTCCCCCTCCATCTCACGGTTATGTGCTTGGTGACTCACTGGTTGTGTACGTGTTGCTTAAAAGTGGGATATGAGAGAAAATGTGTGTGTCTATGTGTGTGAGTGTCAGAGACCTGAAGGTGTTCTTGTATGTATGTGAGAGAGAGAGAGAGAGAGAGAGATTGGTCACATTTGTATGGATTAAAGCATCCAGGCCCACCATCAGAAAATAAAACAACCCATGTTGTGAGGCAGATTTTCCAAATTACACTACACAGATTTTCTTACAGAAACCTCTCTCTCTCCCCCCCCTTTCTTTTCCCTTTTCACCTTGCCCTTACTTTTTTATAGACATTTCTCGGCCATCCTCTGGAAACAGACCATCACTGCCATCCACAGTAAGAGACCAGAAACTCCTTGCTTTGTACCATTATGATCATTCTCAAATGAATGTTTTTGGGTCAATACAAGTTTTACTCTGTATTAACAAAATATGTTATATATGTGTGTGTGTTGAATAGGGATGCACCGATACCACTTTTTCCAGTACTCGCCCGATACCGATACTTTTTGGTACTTGCCGATACCGAGTACCGATACAGATAATTTTATTGCATTTGTACATTTTTTTAATATTGGGTACAGAAACCAAAAGAGTATGTATAATGTTAGTTGGTTAACTTCATTTATCAAATAGATACAGTCAAACCTAAATTTATTCAGACACCTTCAACATTTCTCACATTATCACAGTGACCCCTTGTAGTCTCCTGGGCATGCTGTCACCCAGCTTCATGCAGACCTGAACTTCAATGTTTTTTCCCAGACTCGGTCTGAATAATTTTTGGTCCCAAATTTGTATCACCTTTACTGGTAGTCCACTGTATGAGGAATTTTTGGGTATGATTTGTCACAGTTTACTTTATTTTGCTATCCTCACTTACATAAATGAACTCTCCTTTCTGCTGTCTGTTGTTCTGTTGTCGGTGTTTCTTTGTTTGAATATGGCACTTATCACATGCTGTGCCATGTGATAAGCAGTAAATACCAGTATCGGTATCGGTGCATCCCTAGTGTTGAATATGATTGACTGAGCAGAATGCCAAAAGTGCTGATGCTTAGTCTAATAGCACTAGGAAATTGTTTTTATCACGCTGCTTCTCTGTGTTTGCATGTTCCACACTGTAACATAGAAGTAGCTTACAACTAGAGTGTGATACATTTGCAGCATTGAGTTTATTGGGCGAAGCAAAAAAAGCATCATAATACAGGCAAAGATTGACAGTAGGAACACTGTAACGTATACAGGGACGAGACAGAGCAAGCACAGTTTAATTTGAAACACCAACACAGATAATCCAAACTCGAAACAATTGTGGACAAACCACAGACAGGAGCCAGGAGAGCAATCAGAAGACAAAACACATACAGAAAACAATAACTGACAAAACACAACTGAAACACAGGAGTATATATACATAGGTTAACCAGGAATGATGAGGGACAGGTTTAGGTGATAAGTTGGCATGGTAAATAATAAGGGTTGCTATGGTAACAAACAAGGCAGTAAGGCAAACTGGGACAGGAACTGAACAAAGGAAGTGAAGAGGGAAACAATAGGAACAGAAACACATTACATGAGTCTTAAAAAAAAAGAGGGACAAATACAAATATTCAAGCAATAATCAAAAATGTAAATCAATAAATAATTCACTCAACCCATTCATTCATGAACTGATTCATGCTGGATTGGAAGACTACTACTGTGGGTTATTCTGAGATGTGCAAAGGATGATTTTGCTGTGGCTTTGGAACTGTTTTCATTTGCAAATAGACACACAGGAGCTAGCAATATGGTTTCCAAAATGTAAGGTAGGGGAGCGCGGGGCACAAAGTAACGTGGGGTAAGTTGTATCACACGAAGTTTAAATATTTCCACACATGCTAGCATAACCAAATTTTCAGCATTTACTAGTTACCATATCAACATTATACAGAGAAAAAAAGTGCACCAAAATTCAAATGTTTTTTGAAGATATCGCTGAACATTTATTTTAACATAGTAAAATTATATTTCTGGCTTAATACATTTTTCATCTCAGTTTTTATTACTCATTTAAAATGAGACAAATCTGCTATTATTTTAATCTCCAATCTGTTATTTATCAGTTTAGGTTATTTTTAAATGCTTCGCTAACTATCAGAAGACAGTAACCGGTTTTAAATTCCAGTTGCGCAGATGGGGCATGTTGTAACACTGCGTTACAATGTGCCCTGCCGTGCTATTCTATGACATTAGCGATGTAATTCACACTATTTACTTTAATAAATTTTAATGATAAACGACGAGAAACAGGTGAATAAATACTGACAGTCAATGTTTAATGTTAAGAAATTATTATTTCAAGACATGTAAAGCATTTTGGCTTGTTTATGTGGGCAATCCCAAGCATGGTTGCAATGTGTTCATTGTCAAATTCCAAAATCTGATTATTTTTAATTCTTAAATAACGCCATTATTTTATTTGAAATAAATAATTTTATTTTATTGACAAAATATTTTAGTTTGTCTTGTATATTTTTTTCATGCGATCAGATAACATTTTAAGCTGTCATATGATCATGTTACAACGTGCCCCTCAGATGTTACAATGTACCCCACCTACGGGGCATGTTGTCACATTTCACTTCCAATTATTTTTAATTCTTAAATAACGCCATTATTTTATTTGAAATAAATAATTTTATTTTATTGACAAAATATTTTAGTTTGTCTTGTATATTTTTTTCATGCGATCAGATAACATTTTAAGCTGTCCTATGGTCATGTTACAACGTGCCCCTCAGCTGTTACAATGTACCCCACCTATGGGGCATGTTGTCACATGTCACTTCCAATTTTTGAGGGTAAATAAAGAAAAACGTGTACACTGTAATTATGAAATAAAGCGACATATTTGTACTAGACAAGTGTGAAATTACTGTGGTTAAAAAAAATATACTCTGAACCCCATGTGGATTTACACAAACTGAGAAAGTCAAAAAGTGTTACTTTGTGCCCCGCTCTCCCCTACTCAATATTAACTTTATTGAACCAATGTTTTCAAGACAACATCATACATAGAACTGTGCTTTTGTTCTGGATATCAGCACAGCTGTGATTATGGGCAAATAACAGTCATGCTAATATTCAAAAGAACAGAACTCTAGCCTGTGTAATATTGTTTAAATATATAGGCTTTAAAAGCTCCTTACTTTACTCTTGTGACAATTCGTTCTGCATTCCTTCACAACCCAGCTCCACTATTATGTCAATATTATTTACTTGTTTGAGGAAGCCAGCATAATAATAATTTGCAACAGACCTTCAGACTTTTATGATTTAGTGAGTTATATAATTTCAACTTGATCAGGCTTATGATTTTCTTAAAGAAAACAGTTAAAACTCTAGCAATCTGCTAAAATATACTATCAAAATGCTAGCAATGTGCTAAAACATGCTAGCAACATTCTAGCAGTTTAGACATGCTAACAGCTCGGTATCCTAGCAACAAATTAAATCATACTATCAATATGTTAAAATATGCTAGTAATGTGCTAAAAATATTAGTGATGTGCATAACATGTTAGCAACTTCTAGAAACAAGTTAAAATGTTAGCAACATGCTATAAGCTACTACCACAAGAAACTTGCTAGAAGCATTTTAGTAATGCTAAGATATGCTAGTAAAATGCTATAACACCTTAGTAAAATGCTAGCTGTCATGGCTTTGCCAGGCTCCACCCTCACTCCCTCACAGCGATCACAATCTCCAGATTACTGGATTGCACGCACCTGTTCCCAGGCACTACACCACTCAGCCACGGAGTATAAGCACGCACATCTCAGTCACTCGTTGTCTGGTCTTGCTTGTGACTAAGGACTACTTACCTCCAAGTGATATCCCCATTGTCAACAGCATAGTTTCCTTGCTCCATCTTCGTGGGTTCCCTGATTCCCTTCCAAGTCTGTATAGTCACTGCCATCTAGTGATAATTAAATGAAGCTTTGTGAACTACCAAGGCTTTGCTCTAAACTGTATCACAAAAGGGTTCATTATCTGATTCTTTGTTTTATTTATCCCAGCACCGGGCCCTGAGACAAGAACCAAGGTTTCCTCCACATGTCCAAGGAACGTAGGCATCGCGCGTGACCTTGATCATACGAAACGGGTTTCCCCTTGGGGAGAACCCATTGGTCTTGAGTCACCACTGTAGGGGTCTCATGTACAGCAGGCCAAGGGGTATCATGTTGGACGCAGCTGCCATCAGACCCAGCAGTCTCTGAAACTGCTTGACAGTGAGTGACCGGCCTTCTCTGACTCTCGCGACTGCGGTGAGGATCGACTTGATCCGAGCAGGAGACATACGTGCCTGCATTGTGGTCGAATCCCACACCATGCCCAGATAAGTGGTTCTCTGTAGTGGAGAAAGCACACTTTTCTTGGTGTTAAGTCTTAACCCCAGCTCTTTCGTGTGAGCGAGAATGACATCTCGATGTAGAACCGCCATGTGCTCTGATTGTCGATGTGGTTGAGTTGTGAAAGTGTGGGGTGAGAGTGCAAGGCCAAAGGAAGAACCGGTATTGGTAGGCTTTTGCCCCCAAAAGCAAACCTCATTAACTTCCTATGATGAGGAAGGATGCCCTTCATCCTTCCTCGGAATGGTAAAGTACCGGCTGTAGGACCCAGACACTGCTGTGCGAGGAGGGACCACCTCGATGGTCTCCGTCCTCAGAGAGTGTCTACTTCTGTTCCATTACCAGAGCCTGCTCGGGGCCCACCAGGGTGGGAAAGGCCCCGTTGAATTGAGGCGGAGGAGAACCGAACTGGATTCGGTGCCCTCTCACTACAGTGTGCAGGACCCACTGAGACACGTTTGGCAGTAGTTTTCACGCTGTCAAATAGTCTACTAAGGGAATCTATCTCTCGAGACTGACCTCTGGTGTAACCAGAGTGGCTAGCTCAGTGCCTTGAAGCAGCGGACCTGCAGGGGACGACCGTACTAGCTGCTCTAGAGACCTCCGTGGAGGTCGCGAGCCTCTTAGCACCGCTACGTTTCCGGGCGGTAACTGAGAGAAGCGCTCGCCGGAGACCGCTGCGCCCTGAAGCACCGTAGGTGGCAGGGTTGGCAG